ATGCTGTTGTAACCTTGCTGTTATATGGAGGTAGGAGGGAAAAGGCTGCAGATGTAGCAGCTTTGTAAGAAGGCAGGCACTGGATAAAGAGATTTCTCAAAGCCTTGAGATTTGCTCTGTTTCACATCACTGCCACTGACTGACTTTAGAAAAAGCATAACCATGAGTGTCAGGTGCCAGCAGGTTTCTGGCTCAGATGCTGTTAGACTGCAATTGCCATCCACCCCAGCCAACACAGGGGTGATGGGAGGTGCAGTCCAACAACCTTTGGATTTCCCATACCTGGTTTACAGGGATGATCTGAGTGCTGATCACAACCACAAATGACCCTGAAACCCACCTTAAAAGCCAGCCAGCTGTCCCAAGCAGTGGACGTTTGTGCTGCTCACAAGTGAGATGCTACAAGATGATTTTAAGATGGATTTCAGGGGTCAGATGGGGAGTTAACTTGTAGGCATGATATGGTGGGATGCAAGATCATGATTGAGGTCTCTATTAGCAAAGAGACAACGCTCTCCCCTGAGCTTGATGCCACTTTATATCTTACCCACAGATGGCAGAACACCAGTCATGTTCTTAAAGTTTGAGGATGATGTTTACTAGAATGCTCTCCCTTCCTCCTAAGAGAAACCAAAACCCTTCTCTGTGTTCCTTGTGGAGTGAAATCAATCTGCCCTTTAACCCTAGCCTACACAAAGCTTAAGTAAATGTTTACAAAATCTATCCCTGACAGTTCCTCTGTCTCCCTTGCTTCCGAAGCTTCCCTTCGGAGTCTCAGACCAACTCCTTCCATCATAATAGCTCTTAGTACTGTAGTATGACTTCTGTCCAGAACTCTACTACCTTGGCTCGTTCACATTACACAATTACAGTGCTATAAATCCACTTTAACTGTCATGGTCCTATCCTCTGGAATCCTAGGATTGGCAATTTAGAGATGGGCATTTAGAATTCCCAGCCAGAATGCTTCTCCAAGATAAAAAGAAACAAACCCTGCAGGATTCCATAGCAGGGATGGGGAATGGCTTGGGGACTCCTGGCGACATCGGCGGCATTCTCATGTGTGGTAACATGCATTCCCGTGCCATGGCGTGCCGTTCCATTCAGTTCCCATTCCTGTAAGTACCTTGTGGGCCTTTGCAGACTGCTAGAAATAGTGCAAATCGAGTCCACTTTAACTGCCCTGGCTCAGTGCTAGGGAATCATGGGAATTGTATTTTTTTCTGAAACATTGAGCCTTCTCTGTCAGAGAGCTCTGGTGCCACAATAAAATACAGTTCCCATGATTTCCTAGCACTGAGTCAGGGCAGTTCAAATGGACTCAATTTGCACTATTTCTGGCAGTCTGCGAACTAACTTACCAATTTGGGATCTGTAGACCACTTAGTGTAGACCAGGGGTAGGCAACCTAAGGCCCGGGAGCCGAATGCGGCCCCCGAGGCCTTTGGACCAGCCCCAGGCCGGTCCCGCCGCCGCCACCGCTGCCGCCCGCCATGATGATATTGATTATTGTTGTTATTACTTGTTCTTGGGGTTTTCTTGGCAAAATCTCCACAGGGGTTTTGCCATGGCTTTTCTGGGGCTGAGAGAGTGTGCATGCATATTTTTTTTAAAAAAAATATTTATTTATTTTTGGTGCTTCGGCCTCCCCAATTGTCTGAGGGACAGCAACCCGGCCCCCGGCTCAAAAAGGTTGCCTACCCCTGGTGTAGACAGTACACAGCCACCCCAGGGGGAATCTGGGGTATATAAGTAATGAAGACAAACCCTAAATCAGCAAAGCTTGTAGATAACTAATTTGACACATCTGTATGACTTGTAATTCCAAAAATGAAGGTGGCTGTGTCAATCCACTAATGGTTTGTAATTAGTTCCTGTTTTGCAAACCATGCTCTCTCAGCCTCAGAGGATGGCAATGGCAAGACCCCTCTGAAGAAGCTTGACAAGAAAACCCTGTGGTAGGAGTTTATCACACGGAGGCAAATCCCATGCAGAAATGGGATTTTAAAATCTGCTGAACACCTACAAATGTGGGTTGTTTTTCAAACGTTGTTTGTGTAAAAGAGAAATAACGTGAAAATAACCGGAATGGAAAATTGACAAAAAACACTCCTTTCGACTTTTGGAATTTCCCAAAAGTAAAAAGGAGCAGGTTTTGTCGGCTTT